GGGTACGGTTGGCTGCGGAGAAGGAGCTCCAGCTGGAAGAAGGCTTTTACAAGTCTCAGGGGGATTGGAAGACAAGGAGTGAGCAGATCATTAAGGATCAGGTGGTAAGTCTGCGGGTATTCTGTTGTTCATAGTGTGCGATGGCTGAGAGTGTGTAATGTTTGTGAAGATCGTCTACTGACTTGCTGATGTATACAGGAGGAGGAAGAGAAAGCTACCCAGGAAGCCGTGCCGGATGACGAGGAAGATGCCGCTTCATCTGCTTCCGAAGACGCAAAGCCTGCCAAACGAACAAGACCTGAGAAGCCATCGGCATCGCGCAAGCGTCAGAAGAAAAGCGCTTCGGAATCCGATGACGGAGATGCAGCCAACGGATCACCAGACGAGGATGAAGACAAGGTAGAAAAGGTCCCCAAAAAACAGACCAAGGCAACACCGAAGAAGCAGCCATCGCCCAAGGCTTCTGAAGACTACGTTCAAGATTCCGATGAGGAAGAAGGGGCAAAACCAGAGAAGGCCGAAGAGACACCAAAAGACGACTCTGAGAGCGAACTTTCAGTTGTCCTAGACGAGGAGCCTAAACCGAAGCCAAACCGCAAGCGACAGAAAAGTGCCGAGGCGCCCCCGCGCAAGGGCAGGAAACAGACAACGGCGAAGGGAAAGGATGCGGATATAGACCCGAACCAAGCGGAAATCAAGCGGTTGCAAGGCTGGCTGTTGAAGTGTGGGATCCGCAAGATGTGGGCACGGGAGCTGGCTCCCTACGATACGCCCAAAGCGAAGATCAATCACCTCAAGGGCATGCTGAAAGACGCAGGCATGGAGGGTCGCTACTCAGTTGAGAAGGCTAATCGTATCCGCGAGGAGCGTGAACTCAAAGCTGATCTGGAGATGGTTCAAGAAGGAGCCAAGCGATGGGGTAAAGAAAGCGGCAGCGAGAACAGTGATGATAGTCGACCTAAGCGGCGGCTGAATCGCGGGCGGAAGAGTCTGGCCTTTCTAGAGAGCGAGGGAGAGGAAACGGACTGAGATGGCGGGATGACCAATGTGCGGGTTGCTGCATGATTTAGCTGTCGCAGTATCTGCCTGGCGCAGGCTGTGGGTCGTAATGACACTCGAGATAATTGAATAGTCCATGTTGGCACACCACGCCTTATTTCCCTGTCTTTGTTCCGCCCATACGTTGGGCCACCAAGCTAAACACGGCGACGGAAGAGATGAAGAGGACGAGGTTGTAGAACTGTATAGCATGTCAGTCAGTAATGGAATCATTGTATAGCGACACCTAGCTCGCGAGAGCTTACCGCTGTTCTGGAGTACTCGTTCTCTTCCGCCTCTGTTCTAGCCTCGACAAATAGGCGTCGGAGATTGGGTAGATTGGCCTAGGATGGAGAGGTGAGTGGTAGCTTTTGAGGGGGTAGTGTCAAGCTACATACCATAGCTCTGGTAGCAACTAATGCTGATTGTCAGGAGAAGGAAAGAAAGAAAGACGGAAGAAGGCGGCGGCGGCGGCGGCGGTGGTGGTGGTGGTGGTGACGGGGAAGCCAAACCGGGGAAGTCAAAGAGAGCGGCTCAGGTTAAGTTAGTGTTGGGTCCAGACACTCACTCGCTCGACTCCCTGATTGTATCTGTCCTCCTTCCACTTCCTGCCCGGCCCTCTTGCTCCCCCCATCCACCCCCCTCTTCCCTCCCTTAAGGGTCTTTTTCTATACTTTCTTTCTTCTCTCCTTCAACCTTGTCTTGTTTCATCTTACTCGTCCGTCCATCCTGTGCCGGATTGCTGCGGTGTCCGGTTCTCCCTGAAGCTCTCGCCGCCTCGCATTAATTCCCCGCAGTCTCCTGCATTCCCACTTCCGATCCCATCTGGTTTTGCGGAGGCGCGACCCCGTCGTCGCTGAAGCCCGGTTTCGCTCAGCATGGCTATGAGTAAGATCAGGGGGGCCTTTGCGGTCCCCAGAAAAGGAGAGACCTTCGAATTGCGAGCTGGTCTTGTGTATGGTGTGCCCCGTGCCCGATCGCTGACCGACATCTTGCTGACCTCTCGACAGATCTCAGTATGCATATGAACGGTACGTCGACTTGAATCTGCCTATGCAGAACCGCCGATAGCCCATGACACATTCTCTGATGCGCGCATAGGAAGGAGTCCATTCAGAAGACCATCATGGCCATGACGTTGGGCAAGGACGTTTCCGCTCTGTTTCCGGATGTCCTCAAGAACATTGCGACCAGCGATCTCGAGCAGAAGAAACTAGTATACCTCTATCTCATGTGCGTGTTCGCTCTTTGATTTTCCAAGTGATCTCTACTAAACACTCGCTACGTACCAGGAACTACGCCAAATCTCACCCGGACCTTTGCATTCTCGCCGTCAACACCTTCGTACAAGACTCCGAAGACCCGAACCCCCTCATCAGGGCTCTCGCGATCCGGACAATGGGTTGTATCCGCGTGGACAAGATGGTGGATTATATGGAGGAGCCCCTCCGCAAGACGCTTCGCGATGAGTCGCCATATGTCCGGAAGACCGCCGCGATCTGTGTAGCGAAGCTCTTCGACCTGAACCCCGCTATGTGCCTGGAAAACGGCTTCCTGGAGATGCTGCAAGAGATGATTGGTGATCCTAACCCCATGGTTGTCGCCAACTCCGTCACCGCACTGTCCGAAATCTACCACGCTGCCCCTGAAACGCAAGCCCTCAAGGTGACCTCCAACACTCTGCGCAAACTTCTTATGGCCTTAAACGAGTGCACGGAATGGGGTCGAGTCACGATTTTGACTACTCTGGCCGAGTACAGAACCAACGAAGTGACTGAATCTGAACACATTTGCGAAAGGGTTGCTCCTCAGTTCCAACATGCCAACCCCAGTGTTGTCCTGGCGGCCGTTAAGGTGGTATTCCTCCATATGAGGAACGTCAACTATGAGCTTGCAAAGAACTACCTGAAGAAGATGGCTCCCCCGCTTGGTAAGATAACCTTCGATTCTGCTGACCGACTTACTTGCTGATGTATGACGTTCAGTAACGCTGGTGTCGTCGGCGCCCGAAGTCCAGTATGTGGCTTTACGGAACATTGATTTGTTGTTGCAAAAGCAGCCTGATATCTTGAACAAGGAACTGCGGGTCTTCTTTTGCAAATACAACGATCCACCTTACGTCAAGTTCCAGAAGCTGGAGATCATGGTCCGCATAGCGAACGACCGCAACGTCGACCAGCTCCTTGCAGAGCTAAAGGAGTACGCGCTGGAGGTAGATATGGACTTTGTGCGTCGCGCCGTCAAAGCTATCGGTCAAGTCGCCATCAAGATCGAGAGCGCCAGCGAGAAGTGTGTCAACACCCTGCTGGACCTCATTAACACCAAGGTCAATTATGTGGTGCAAGAGGCGATCGTTGTCATCAAGGACATCTTCCGCAAATATCCCGGCTACGAAGGAATTATCCCCACCCTTTGCAAGTGCATCGACGAATTGGATGAACCTAATGCTCGGGCTGCGCTCATCTGGATTGTTGGTCAGTATGCGGAGAAGATCAGCAACGCAGGTGACATTCTTGCTGGTTTCGTGGAAGGCTTCAATGAAGAGTTCTCTCAGGTTTGTTGTTGTTACCAATAAGCCTCTCGACCATTGCTAATCCATTGTGCAGACCCAGCTGCAGATCTTGACCGCTGTCGTCAAGCTCTTCCTCAAGCGGCCCGAGAAGGCTCAGGGGCTTGTCCAGAAAGTGCTGCAGGCGGCCACGGCTGAGAATGACAACCCCGATGTCCGCGATAGGGCTTACGTGTATTGGCGTTTGCTGTCCAACACGAGCGACCCTAATGCTACGAAGAACATTGTACTGTCTGACAAACCGCCAATCGTCACCACAATCCAGTCTCTTCCCCCGAATCTCCTCGATCAGCTACTGGGCGAACTGTCCACTCTCGCATCTGTCTACCACAAGCCTCCGGAGCAATTCGTTGGACAGGGCAGATTTGGTGCAGATGCCGTACAGAGAGCTGCCATCGAGTATGTTTTACACTTGCTTTGCAAAGCTGGTTACTCGGAATCCATGCTAATGAAAACTTTAGGGAACAAATCCAAAACGCTCGAGAGAATCCGTTGGCGGCAGCGGCGGCAGCAGCAGCTGTTACTGGCAGTGCTCCGCCTCCGCAAGCCCAGAGCAATGTCGAGAACTTGTTGGATATCGACTTCGATGGCACCGCGCCGGCATCTGCGCAGAAAGAACCGGGCGCTGGGATGTCAGGTCTCGAAGGCCTTGCTGGAACGCCCGTGCGGGTGGAATCTCCGGCCGTAGGGGCACCTTCTGGAAGCAACAACCTGGATGACCTGCTCGGAGTGTTTGGCGATGGCGCCGCCGCCGCCCCCGCTAGCGGGAGCGGTGCTCCCACTGGTGGTGCTGGTGCAGACTTGATGAATGGCTTTGAGGGGCTGGACCTGTCTGGAGGTGGCATGGCTTCACCACCTCCTGGAGGAAGCCAACCAAAGAAGACAAACGAGGATATTTTGTCGTTATTCTGAGCGCAATGAGCCATGTCTGTATGATGGCGCACGATTTCGTATAGCTGAATCAGAGGTGCGGGAAGGTTGAGCCAAAAGCACACATAATTCTGTTGATGCATGCCGAATATAGATCTATTTTTCGTTACTCTAGCTTGGGGTCTATCTTGATACTACTCTTGTCTATCTGTTTTTCTCCTGTTTGACATTCTGGGTGTTTCCGCCCACCTGTATATCCATCTCATCATTGGACTTGACGAGCATTGATCTATTCTACGTATCCCTTACTTAATTGCACACTTCTTTCCCGGTCAACGCATTCAGGAAACTTTTCCCAACTTCAGCGGTCTTGCTGACTTTGCATTTAACCATTCTAGCGGGGGGCCAGCAATGCTAGTTGGTCGGAACCGAAACCCTCCCTTGTCCGGGTGAGTCACGGCTGCTCATCCTGCCCGGACTTCCGGCAGTCTGTGAACCACTATAAATAATCAAGCCATTCTCATGGCTCTCATCGCTTTTCTCAGACTGGAATCCATTGAACTCCTTCTACTACCGTGCAATGGATCAACTAAAGAAAACTTTCGCCCGGTGTGCGCAGGAGGGCCGGCCAGCCCTTGTGACCTATGTCACGGCTGGCTTCCCTACGGCAACAGAGACTCCAGACATTATGCTTGCAATGCAGGCTGGAGGAGCAGGTATGCAATGATTCCTAGCTTGAATAAGTGACAACATCCGCTGGTGTGCTAATGATTTGGTAGATGTCATTGAACTCGGTCTCCCCTTCACGGATCCTATTGCCGACGGCCCTACCATTCAAATGTCGAACCTTAAGGCGCTCGATAACGGTGTCACCATATCCTCTATGCTGCAGATGGTTAAGCATGCCCGTCAAAGAGGCCTACACGTTCCAGTTCTCTTCATGGGTTACTATAACCCGATTATGCGTTATGGGGAATCCGAGCTCCTCGCTGCGAGCAGGACAGCGGGGGTGGATGGCTTCATCATTGTAGACCTACCTCCCGAGGAAGCTGTTCGATTTCGGAACCAGTGTAGAGATGCTGGGTTAGTTACCTTTCTAATACCAATTGTTGAGGCAACATGGCATTGTCTGGCCAACCACTGACACGTATCCTTTGAACAGTCTTTCCTACGTCCCATTGATAGCCCCGTCGACCACAGAGGACCGCATGAAAACTCTCTGCGGAATTGCCGATTCCTTTATATATCTTGTCTCCAGAATGGGTGTCACTGGTGTCACTGGCACTCTGAGCCACGATCTCCCGGAGCTGATGAAGCGCGTGAAGCATCTTTCTGGCGGAGTACCGGTGGCTGTTGGCTTCGGCGTCAGCACCCGTGAACAGTTCCTCGGTGTCACATCTGTAGCAGACGGTGCCGTCATTGGTAGTGAGATAATCACCCAGCTGGCGAACGCTCCTGCAGGCCAGGGTGCAGCTATCATCCAAGACTACTGCTCTCAGATTACATGCCGGACAATCGAGCCAACCGAACCTCACTCTGTCCCAGAGGACACTCACCCATCTTCGTCATCATCCAGCCTCCCTGTCTCAGGCCAGTCAACAGAAGCATCCAAGCCCGGCCGCTTCGGCACCTTCGGCGGCCAATACGTACCGGAAGCCCTAACGACATGTCTCAACGAACTAGAAGCCGGGTTCAATGCCGCCATCGACGACCCAACCTTCTGGGCTGAATACCGTTCCTACTACCCTTACATCGGACGGCCCTCATCCCTACACCAAGCCCCACGCCTCACCTCCCACGCCGGAGGCGCTACCATCTGGCTAAAGCGCGAAGACCTCAACCACACCGGCTCACACAAGATCAACAACGCCCTCGGCCAGATCCTTCTCGCCCGCCGACTCGGCAAGACCGAGATCATCGCCGAAACAGGAGCCGGCCAACACGGCGTAGCAACCGCCACCGTATGCGCCAAATTCGGCATGAAATGCACCGTATACATGGGCTCCGAAGACGTCCGCCGCCAGGCTCTCAACGTCTTCCGGATGCGCCTCCTCGGCGCCACCGTCATCCCCGTAGAATCCGGGTCCCGCACACTCCGGGACGCCGTCAACGAAGCCTTTCGCGCATGGATCACACGCCTTAACACAACCCACTACATCATCGGCTCGGCCATCGGTCCACACCCCTTCCCTACAATCGTCCGCACCTTCCAATCCATCATCGGCCAGGAAACCAAAACCCAGCTGGCGCAGCAAATCAATCGTCTCCCTGACGCAGTGGTCGCCTGTGTAGGCGGTGGCTCTAACGCAGTCGGCATGTTCTACCCTTTCTCTGAAGACCCGTCTGTCCAGTTAATCGGCGTGGAAGCCGGCGGCGATGGTACCACCGGCCCCGAACACCACTGCGCTACCTTATCCTCTGGGTCTGGCTCGGTGGGTGTGTTCCATGGAGTGCGGACGTACGTACTTCAGAACGAACACGGGCAGATCTCCGGTACACATTCCGTGTCTGCGGGGCTGGATTATCCTGGAGTTGGACCGGAATTGGCGCATTGGAAGGAGGTGGGCAGAGCGAGGTTCATCTCGGCGACGGATGACGAGGCGCTGGAGGGGTTGAAGTTGTTGTGTCGGTTGGAGGGGATTTTGCCGGCGTTGGAGACGGCGCATGCCATTGCGAAGGTGGTGGATGTGGCGAGGGAGGTCGGGGTGGGTGGTCATGTTGTGTTGTGTGTTAGTGGGAGGGGGGATAAGGATGTTGATACGGTTATGGGGGTGGAGGGGATGGCTTAGGGAGGTATAATACTTTATTCTTATCTTACTTTTCGGGGTGTGCATAATCTATCAATGTATTACTTTCTCACTTGAACCCTTATAGAGTTCCCGAGCATCATTGCAGCATTTTAAAGTCGTCCATTAATAAAAATGATTGCTTGGGTCTATCAATTGACATGAACCCCCAATATAAGCTGACTAGTAGTTATGGATAACCAGAAAGATACACAGCAGAAGCTGCATACCTTCCCTATCCCATAATACTACGTCCAGGATATGCAACGCTCAATGCAACACCTAGGCTACTTAAAAAGTAGTACTATAGATAACGCCATACCACCCCAATATGACCGATAGTTATAGATAGTTAGTAGCGGTCAACTATACGTAGTACCGTGTCACCGATTTAGTTCCGAGACTATTACCGAAGTGTACTAATAAGTTGAACCCCTCACTATTATTCACCTCAGTGTAGCTAATTGTCTTGATAATTTTGATCGATCATAAGAGTGGAATACCAGGCCAGAAGTAATGTAGCGAAACAGACAGCACACAACAAGGTAGGAAAGTTATCGCTATCTATAATCTGGATCTGGCAAAAAAGATAAAAGATACCCAATCGGACCCTTGTTCGGAACGAGATTGCATTGATTAGAAGTGATTCCCGATAAGATCCAATTCCTGCAAGGTTTCCGCGTCGTATTCTTCATCTTGCGGGTTATCGGGCCGTGAAGATTTGTCTATGAGTTAGATCACACCACGCATGTCATTTGTGTTACTGTGTACTGTATATTGAGAATTTAAGACATAAATATTGAAGATAATAGAATCAATCAATTAAGGTCGTTAAAGCTGTAGGGCGGTCTTCTCACTTTGGTTATCTTTTATTTTTCATTTCTTAGTGGGGGGCTTTGTCCGTCCAATTTATTAGTCTCATTGTTCGGCTTTGGAGAAGGAAATTTGGAGAAATTGGAGAACCACTAGCATTAGAAAGTATTCATACAGTTTCAATTAATAACTCAATTCGTTTTAAGTATGTTCCCATAAATTTTGGAATGTTAATTCCCGTATAATAAAGTAAATCTGCAATGTCTACATGTTGTAGAATAGGGTTAAGAGCATTAATAATGCTGCAAAACAAACCCGACGGATCACGGCAAGACTCCGCCAGATTTCTATCGGAAAGACTCCATCTAGACCATAAGAACTACTTTGAGTGGGTGGGCTAATAGGCCATCGATGGGATATCCGCAATACCCGTGCCCTTTCTGCCTCTTCTTCTCCCTTCTTGGCTATTCTGTCTCTGGCAAAGTGGGCCATCTGCCGATCCAACCGATGAATGATCCATGGATTAGCAGTTGCCCCTCTGTAGTCGTTCCTGGCGTATAAATTATAAAGAATTGGGGTTGTCTCCTATCCCTTCACTTAGTTGTACCTGTCATACCCCAACCCTAGACATACCTTTGTCCCCTCTCTCATTCACAATGGCTCAAGATTACAAGTTTGAAGGATGGATGGGTCTCGACAAGGACTCCGCCGACGGAAAGATGGTCTGGCAGGAGTTTGAGCCCAAGCCGTGGGAGGAAACCGATGTTGACATTAAGATCACTCACTGCGGTATCTGTGGTTCCGATTTGCACACTCTCCGCAGCGGCTGGGTAAAGCATCTCCCATTATGTATCGGCTGAGATACGGTTTTCAAATCTTGAATACTAACCTCAACAGAGACCTGCCCTGTACCCCTGCTGCGTGGGCCACGAAATCGTCGGCACTGCCGTGCGCGTTGGATCCAAGGCTGTCGGTGGCATCAAGGTTGGTGACCGCGTGGGTGTTGGTGCGCAGAGCGACTCCTGCCTTGGTCGTTTGGGAGACTGCCCTGAATGTGCGATGGGTGATGAGCAGTACTGCTCCCACAAGATCGTCGGTACCTACAACAATGTGCACCTGAACGGCGGCAAGTCTTACGGTGGATATGCTCTGTACAACCGCACCCCGTCTCACTTCGTTATCAAAATCCCCGACAGCATCCCTTCGGCGCAGGCCGCCCCTATGCTGTGCGGTGGTGTCACCCTGTTCAGTCCTCTAAAGCACCACAACTGTGGCCCTGGCAAGCGCGTGGGTATCATTGGTCTCGGTGGGCTGGGCCACTTCGGTGTGCTTCTGGCCAAGGCCATGGGTGCTGATAAAGTGGTTGCTATCTCCCGCAAGACTAGCAAGGCCAATGATGCGCTGGCTATGGGTGCTGATCTCTATGTTGCTACGGATGATGAGCCGGACTGGGCTACCAAGTATGCCCGGTCTCTGGATCTGATTGTCTGCACTGTTTCTTCAACCAAGGTATGTTTTACCCCATTATACGCATAACTTTAGGGGTTTCGGGTACTAATAGGGATATAGATGCCCATGACCGAGTACCTGGGCCTGCTTGCGACGGGCGGTGCCCTGGTCCAAGTCGGACTTCCTGATGACGGTGTTCTCCTGGCCCCCGTCGGCAAGCTGCAGCGTCGCCTGAAGGCCACCAGCTCCTTTATCGGCAGTCCCAACGAGATCCGTGAGATGTTCCAGCTCGTTGCCGAGAAGGGAGTCAAGGCCTGGATCGAAGAGATCCCGATGAAGGACGCCAATCAGGCCATTGTGGATATGCACGCGGGTAAGGCGCGGTACCGTTATGTGCTGGTGAATGAGCAGTGATATGATGATGGTGATGAATTACGATGTATGGAGTTGTGTGGAGTTTAGTTAAAGAAGAGGACAGTGAAGTACATAGAGATAGATAGAGATAGAGATAGAGAAACTAAAATGATACCATATTCGTTGACCGAAACAGGCAGGTGGCGGGCACGTGGTTGCGAGGGGCGCCGCAGTCGGAGGCGCTAAACCCAAAGTGGATTTTTCCCCTCGGCCTTCGCCGCGGGGGATCTTTCCGAATTGCCTCTTTGACTCAGACATCTTTATCACTCTTTCTCCTTCCTTCTTGTGTCATTACTTACCCATTGCCTCGTTCATTGATATTCACAATGTCGCCTACTCTCTCTCAAAGATTCCTGAGCACCCGCGGTGGCTCCTACGGCGTAAGCTACATCCCCCGCCTTGATCATACCCCGTCGCCTATAATTCCCATCCTCTTTCCAGCGGAGTCAATTGCTAACTGGCTATCTCCAACAATAGCTCTCCTTCGAGGAGGTCGTCCTGAAGGGTCTCGCCTCCGATGGTGGTCTCTTCATCCCCGAGGAGATCCCTACCCTCCCCGCCGGCTGGGAGTCGGAATGGCGCGATCTCAGCTTCGAGGAATTGGCCTTCCGTATCATGTCCCTCTACATCTCCGAGTCCGAGATCCCCAGTGAAGATCTGAAGGATATCATCAAGCGCTCCTATGCTACCTTCCGCCACCCCGAACGCACCCCCATCGTTGAACTTGACGCCAAGCGCAACCTCTACCTCCTCGAACTCTTCCACGGCCCGACCTTTGCCTTCAAGGACGTCGCGCTGCAAAAGTAGGTTTATTGGGAACTGCGCATGTGTGTGAGGAAGGACACCCGGTGCTAACAACGATCTCTACCAGTCTTGGAAACCTCTTCGAGTACTTCCTGGTGCGCAAGAACCAGGGCAAGGAGGGCAAGGACAGACACCACCTGACTGTTGTCGGTGCGACAAGTGGTGACACCGGCTCTGCTGCCATCTACGGCCTCCGTGGCAAGAAGGATGTCTCCGTCTTCATCCTGTTCCCCAAGGGCAAGGTTTCGCCCATCCAGCAGGCTCAGATGACCACCATCCTTGATGCCAACGTTCACAACCTCACCGTCGAGGGTACCTTCGATGACTGCCAGGACTTCGTCAAGGCCCTGTTCGCCGATCCCGACATGAACTCCACCCACAACCTCGCCGCCATCAACAGCATCAACTTCGCCCGTATCCTGGCTCAGATCACCTACTACTTCTACTCCTACCTCGCCCTGACCAAGACCCCCGGCTACAACAACAAGATGAGATTTGTCGTCCCCTCCGGTAACTTCGGCGACATCCTGGCCGGTTGGTTCGCCAAGCGCATGGGTCTCCCTGCGGAGAAGCTCGTCATCGCCACCAACGAGAACGACATCCTCGACCGTTTCTTCCGCACCGGCGGTACCTACAGCAAGAGCGACAGCAAGGGTGCCGGCGTCAAGGAGACCCACAGCCCTGCCATGGACATCCTGGTCAGCAGCAACTTCGAGCGTCTCCTCTGGTTCCTGGCCTACCAGACCAGCGAGGCCAGCACGGCCGACGAGCGTCGCAAGCAGGCTTGCGACAACGTCAGCAACTGGCTCAACCAGCTCAAGACCGAGGGTGGCTTCAGCGTGCCCCCTGCCCTCTTCCAGGCCGCCCAGGCCGAGTTCGAGAGCGAGCGCGTCAGCAACGACGAGACCATCGCTCAGATCCGCTCCACCTACCAGTCCTGCTTCCCGTCCAACTTGGGCCCTGGCAGCGCCAAGAGCTCCAAGACGGGCGGTTACATCCTAGACCCTCACTCCGCCATTGGTGTCGCCGCATCCCTGCGCTCCATCGAGCGTAACTCTGGCGTCAGCCACATCTCCTTGTCCACGGCCCACCCGGCCAAGTTCGCCAGCGCCGTCGACCTGGCCCTCCGCGGCCAGGACGGCTACGACTTCACCGAAGTCCTGCCCCAGGAGTTCATCGGCCTCGAGGACCGTGAAAGCCGTGTCACTGCCGTCGGCCCCGGTGCCGGCTGGGAGCAGGTGCGCGAGATCGTCAAGGCTGAGGTCGAGCAGGAGTTGGAGGGAAAGCGGTAGGCACTTAATCATATAACCTGCATATCACATTTAGTTATCGTCTTCCTTCTGCAATGTCTGTTTGACCAAAAAGCCAAGCTACGTCGATGATATCTCACGATCTTCATGTTTCTTTCTCCCTTTACTTATATCTTACATCCTGTGCATCTTTGGCTTCTCTTCCCATAGATCATATTATATCATACCATACAATCAAGATAGATGTTTCAATTCTGAAATGGCTATACCAGGTACTCCATAAGTCAGGGGAAATGAACGTAGAAACAGATAGTAAAACTAATAATATCACGGCAGTACAAAATGTTAACCGTTCAACCCCGTTCTATGTTGCAAGGTACTTTTGGCTTGTGGATTGGCTTAATCCCAGAAGCGAAGGAGGGTACGTAGGGACGTGAGAAAATCACGACACATGACCATCTATCTAAGTGTCATTGACTACAGCCGACGAGTCATGCTACATACTGTTACTATTCCGGGCAACGTAACCCGCCGGGACCGATACGACCTCAACCACATGACCCACTCAGCAATACGAACGACAACGTCTGTCTAAATTTATCTCAATCATTTTTTCACAAGTACAAATTATGCATTATTATGTATTAGAGCATCATTATCTGACACAAAAGCCAAATACATGACTCCTCACCAAAAAGCCCTTGGAAACATTCCAGACCAACGCAAGGATGGCCGGTATGCGTTAGGAACTTGACAAGCAAGGAGCCCAAAGGAGGAAATCACGAAACGAGATCAAGAAAAGTAAAGTAATAGACAAAACAGTAAAAAAGGCCAAATTTTTCTAAATGGGACCGTACCGTACCGTAACACCGGAGATAATATGGGGTTATCTTAGTTGGGTGATATCGCGATCAAGAGTAGCTTGATCGTTAGATCACACATACCGGACTGAGCCAATTTAGAGGAGAGCCATGACACCCATGACGGCCGCCAGGAAGCCAGCCGCGGGCTGCATGTTGGAGGAGGCGGCGCCAGTGAAGGCTGGGGAGACGCCCGTCGCGCCGGTGGTCTCGCCGGGGGTAACGGGAGAGACACCGGTGGTTTCTTCAGGGGAGACGGGGGAGACGCCAGTTGCGCCGCTGGTCTCGCCGGGTGTAACGGGAGAAACACCAGTGGCAGTGGTCTCTTCAGGAGTGACGGGGGAGACACCCGTCGCGCCGGTGGTCTCTTCGGGGCTAACCGGGGAGACACCAGTGGCAGTAGTCTCTTCAGGAGAAACTGGAGAGACACCAGTGGCGGTGGTTTCCTCTGGGCTGACGGGAGAAACACCAGTAGCGGTAGTCTCTTCGGGGCTGACGGGAGAAACGCCAGTGGCGGTGGTTTCTTCAGGGGAGACGGGGGAAACGCCAGTGGCAGTAGTCTCTTCAGGGGTGACGGGTGAGACACCAGTGGCAGTAGATTCTCCAGGAGCAGCCGAGGTGCCGGGCACAGCAGTCTCGCCGGGCACAGCAGTCTCGCCAGGCACAGCAGTCTCGCCAGGCAC